TAATTTTGTTAATAAAAAATTATGACAAGGAAATATTTGTAATTTTTCAAACTATATGGGATAATTCATATTTTAAATAAATGTATAGTTATAATTTACTCTAAATTTTATATAAAAATTATACATAAATATTTTTTTTATACTTTTTACACAAATTTTTTATTTTTTTATGAATAACAACAAACTCAAAAAAAATTTCCTTAAAACAAAGGACCAGAAATTCTCCTTCTGTCTCTCTCTCTGCAACTATTCAATGCGTGCGCACCCTCTCTCTCTCTCTCTCTCTCTCTCTCTCTATATATATATATATACACACTAGTGAGAAAGCGACGCCCAATATAATTAATTTTAATTTTTATATTTATTTTTCATAAATAAAAATAATATATACAAATAAAATATTTTAAATGAAATTTCTTGTTTAAATATAATTAGTTTCTATAATAGATTATAATATTTATATTGATAATTTGTTTAAAATATATATAATTTATTTTATGGTGACGATATTCATCGTTCAATGAGTGTTTGTTAATTTTTAAATAATAATTACAAAATTTACAATTTCAATGCACATTTAACATATTTTTATTATATATTTTTTATTTTAAATACATTTTCATACATCTTCTATATAATTTTCAATCTTAACCATAATTCATTAGGTTGTCTTTGAAATTTGCCTTTATATTTTTAGAGAACTATAAGTATAAGCAATGTTAAAATGATCTAATTTTTTCATGCACTTGTGCGGATCGAAATGTGACTACTTTGCAGGGTGGTGCAGTGTTGGAGACTCTTTTTCTTCTTTTTTATTTGAGTCTGTCCTTGGAAGTGTTTGCTTTAGCTACTACTTCAAATGGGGTTATTGCTTTTATTTTTTTCTCTAGATTTGATGATGTTGTGTCTACTCACTTTCCTTTTGATATTAGTTTTTTTTTTTTTTTTTTTTTTTTTTTTTTTTTTTTTTGTGTGTCATGAACTTATGTATTTTTTATTTTATTAATATAATCTGTTTTAATAATTCTAAAAAAAAAGAAAAAAAAAATCTTAACCCTATTTTAAAACATTAAAAATTGTGTAAAACGCAACATTTGAGAAAAAAAAAACACACACACACATTTTTAAATAATTACTACAAAAGCTCACTTTTTCATAAAAAATAAAATTACTTGTCATACAAAATAATAATAATTATATGAATAAAAATAGTCCGTGAAATATATGATTTCTTTTAATTTAATTAGTTTTCAATATTTTAATTGTGCCAATAATTCTCAACTTGCTTATTATTATGGGCAATTTAATGAAAATACTCTTACTCTCACTATCAATTGTAGACTATTAATTTTGTTATTAAATTGTCTTTATATTCGTTTAAAATATTATGACTAAATTGACACATTTAAAATATTATAACTAAAATGACACAAAACACTTATTTTGAAGATAATTTATATATTTAATTCTAAATATCTATATGTATAATAATAATAAATTTGATTTTCTTTGTGACAAAAAAATAAAAATAAAAAATGTGTGGTCTCAATTACAAATACAGTCCACCACGTATAGATGCAATGAGGGGAAAAATGATTTTCCATAATGGACAAAGGAAACAATGAGAGAAGCATTCATGCTTTATGCACATGTTTGATTGAATTATTAAAAGGGAATTGATTGAAAAGGGAATATGTGGGGTTTATCGAAATATTAATAGGACAAATAACAGTTTAGTGGAAGTTAGAAAAATTAACTAGAAAAAGTTATAAACATTATAAATATTTATAATAAAAATTATAATTTTTTTTATTTATATGTAATGATTTTTAAAAATTACCACTTACTCAATGGTTGTTTGGAGTGTTCTAAATAAGTGTACTTTTTATTACTCAATGGTTGTTTGGAGTGTTCTAAATAAGTGTACTTTTTGTCTTTTTGAACTAAAAAATTGAGGAAGAAAATATGAATATTTGGGTTAACTTTTTGACTTTTTATGAAAAAATGTGTAATAAAAAATTGTAAAAATTGATTTGTACGGAAAAATTAGAATTGGGAGTTGTGCAGCTTGACTTTTGGTGAATAGTGTTAACTTTTTAACTTTTTGAGTAACTTTTTGACTTTTTTACAATATGTCAAACTTGGCCTCATAATTTTTTCTTATTAATATGGAGTTTGATTGTGAGATAAGGGAGATGAGATTGAAGAGGGGGATAAACAGTTTCCACAAGATAATCCAATTCAGTATTTATTTTTGCATGGTATTAAATTTTGGATGATTTTAGTACTGGTATGGAGAATTCAATAGAAAAAAAATAAGGAGAGTAAATGATACTATACATAGTGTCCATATAATTTTTTTTTATCCCACACTAAAAAATAATTATATCTTTTTATTTAATCCTCACCAAATATAATAGCTCACTCAATCTATTCAATTATTTACTATCCTTCATAACCTTATATATCATCTCATCATATATTTAATTTCAGGGTATAATTTTATCCTTACAATTCTATTAATAATCTCATTGTATTTTATCTCATAATTTGTCATTCCATTTAATTTTATAGTACAACTTTATTGTTACAATCTTATCAATAATCTTGTCATATCTAATCTCATAGTATAATTGTATTCCTCACAATCCAATCAATAATCTCATCATATCTTATCTTATAAATAAAAATAACGCTACAATCAAACGGATTTATATATATCGATAGATATTTATGATATTTTAATTTGAAAATTTATAGTATAAATAATATTGAATCAATTTTAACAAATTTTCTCAACATATGTGATAAAAGCTATGGTCCCAACATTTGGTCTATCAATTAAAATAAGATAATGCTATGGGTACCATTGGCACATTGTTATATATTTTTGGGATAATTGTTATGTATTTTTATGGTAAATATTAAGTATTTTTTTTTTAAGAGTTCCAACAATTTGTACTTAAAAAATTAAGGAACTCATTTTGTGAGTGTTAAGTATTTTATTTATTTATTTTATAATGTTATATGTTTTTTTAATCTAAACATTTCTAATCATAAAGTGTGTAATAATATCACAAAATATATAATATTACCATAAAGATGTGTAACTTTATTTATGAATCATAATTTGTCATAACTCTTAAAATATATATATATATATATAACATTTACTATAAAAAAACGTAACATACATTATAAAAACATATAAAAAAATGTATATAATACACACCTTTAGAAGGATTTATACCATATAATTTTCCATCAAAATAACATTATATAATGATAACACATAACATAAGGGCTAAATCAAAAATAAAAAATAAAAAAACAAAAAACAAAAACAAAGCAAAAGAAGCTAAAATGATCACTTTAGAGGGACGAACAAAAAGAGATGCATCGCCTCTTTATTAATAATGGATAGAAAAAAAACAGAAAAAAACAAGAAAAAGAAAAAAAAGAAGTAAAATAGTCATTTTAGAAGGACGTACGAAAAAGGAATTGGGATCCTCTCCTTCATTTCGGTCCTTCATTCCCTCCTTGCAAGGTTTTCGGGCCCACTTTGAGGCCCAATTTTGATAATCCGAACCGTTCATATTTTTAGATTTATTCAGTATATCATACCTGTAAAAAATCAAGTTGATCGAATATCATAAAGTATGTGTTCGGAAAACTGTTTATTAAAAAATAGTTTGTAGTCCCAATTTGCTGAACGCATACTTTCTGATATCCGATCAACTTGATTTTTTACAGATATAATATACTGAATAAATCTAAAATTATGAATGGTTTGGATTATCAAAACTGGGCCTCAAAGTGGACCCGAAGACCCCTGCAAGAAGGGAATGAAGGAGGAGGCTCAAGAAGGGGATCTGGACTCACGAAAAAGAGGTGCATCGCCTCTTTATTATATTAGCCATTACTGACTTTATACTTTTATCGTTTTGCTGCTTTTTTTTTTTTTTTTTCTTATTTTAATAATTAATAATAATTCTCTCTCCCCTCCGTCGGAGATTTCGAGGGGCCAATCTCAAATTAGAATTTTGTTTGAAAACATTTGAAAGAAAATTGGGTTAAAATAAAGTAGTAAGTGATAAAATATATTAAAATAATTAATAAAATAAAATATTATATTTAATTTATAATTATTTTATTTTGACAATTATCAAATCAATTTTAAAAAAATAATTAATTTCTCAAATACAATTACTAATTAGACTAAAGTCCCGTTTGGAATGTTCATTTGAATTAAAATAGTCATATAAAATAAAATAGACGATTTTAGTTAAATAAGATAAAATATCACATCCAACTCATAATTTTTTTTTTCTCTCACAAAAATAAAAAAGCCAAAAACCGATCTCAAACAAGATCTTTTAACCACATACTAAAAAAAACCAAAAAATCAAAAAAACTAACCAATATCCCAAACTAGGGGTGTGCGCGGTGTGGTTCAGACGGTTTGAGAGTAAATTTACAAATCGAATGGCGGGTTGGCGGATTAGCGGATTGACAAATTGCGGTTTGGACGGTTTTTGGCGGATTGGTAGATTGAAGAATATTTTAACTAATTATCATACATTTGCATAATATATAACACTAATTTGTATAATATTTTTTAGATATATACTACAAAGTAATTTTATATAATATGTTTCATATATATAACCACTAATTTGTGATAAATTTCATATCTTAAATCCTCTCACACTCATTTTTACATTGATATTTCATTAGAGGTTAAAAAATATATATGTATTAATTATAGCGGAGCGGAGCGGTTCGATTGTCAAATTATAAATTTTAAAGTTTAAACCATAATTAGCGATTAAAACGATATAAATAGATACAAATCAATACGATTTTAACGAATTGAATGGTATTCTGCACAGTCCTATCCCAAACCAACCCTAAAATACCTGAAAAAGCCAAATAACAAACTTGTAATAAATAAATAAATAAATAAAAGGGCTTATATGTACACACACATATAGATACATACATACATACATACATATAGCCGGCGAATTTAAAGAGAATTTCTATCTTTTTGAATTTGTAGTTTTCCCTCATTCCATCATTCCAAATTCACACACACATATATGTATCAGCTTGTAGTGGTCGGTTTTGGAAGTAATTAGGAATAACAATATGGTTTACACAGTGTTTCAATGGCCCTATGGAGGCCGCGAGGTCTTCCTCTGTTTTTCCTTCACCGGGTATGTTCAATTTCTCTCTTTCTCTCTCTCTCTGTATATATATATATATATATACATATATGTATGTATGATGGTTTTGTTATTTGTTAGGTGGACTGACAGGACACGAATGACTCTGGTGGAGGGTTCTTCCTTGATTTTCCAACTAATTTGTGATCTTCCTCCTGGTTGTTATCAGGTAATTTCAATCCGGATTCAAACCCATTTTACTGTCCCACTTTATTGCCTTGATTTTAATTTTAGTTTTTTAAAGTTTATTTGTTTGTGCATGCTAATTAAATTTCTTAATGAAATGAAAATTGTGGGAAGTTTGTTATTAAACTAGATTAGATTTTCTTTTGTGCAATTTGATGGTTAAAAAGATTTACCCATTTAAAGTTACCATATTTATGTTAAGGAGAGAGCTGAATTCTGTAAATGCCTGTGTAAAGGTCTAAATATTGATGTAAAGAAGGGTAATGAATTTTGAATTAGAAAATTTTAATTCTTTTCCCTAACAGGAGTCTTGGAAATAAATTGACCATCGTCAATTTTCTTTGCTTTTCTTATCTTAATAGGAGTCTTGGAAATAAATTTTAATTCTTCATTTATTCCCTTTTTGGGATTGTTTGGGTACACCCACAGAGGGTGGGGACATGCTTTGGAGCTGGCGGGGGGCTTAGGTTGGGCGTCGTCAACAACGTGTTTGGTGTGAAGGTCTAAATATTGATGTAAAGAAGGGTAATGTCTAAATGGATTTTGGTGTAATGGTCTAACATGGAGCTGCCTGTGTAAAGGTCTGAATATTGATGCAAAGAAGGGTAATAAATTTTGAATTAGAAAATTTTAATTCTTTTCCTTAATAGGAGTCTTGGAAATAACGATCTTGGAAATAAATTGACAATCGTCAATTTTCTTTTCTTATCTTAATACGAGTCTTGGAAATAAATTTTAATTCTTCATTTATTCCCTTTTTGGGATTGTTTGGGTATAGCCACAGAGGGTGAGGGACATGCTTTGGAGCTGGTAGGGGGTCAAGTTGGGTGCCGTCGACGACATGTTTAGTCATTGGTGCCGTTTTGTTTGATGTGGTTAGTTTGGTTGGAGCGGAATAGGTGTACTTTTCAAGAGGTTCAACATTGTGTATCTTGGGTAGAGAGTCGTCTTTTAGTAGTTTTGTATAGTAGGACGGAGAGGAAGGTAGAACCGGATTTGTTTGCTTTTTTAGATTTCTTGGATGTTGTTATCGGTTAGGGGTTGGTGATTTCCCCTATCTGGGGTTGTTTTGTATTCTTTGCATTACCTTCATGCTTTCTTAATAAAGTTGAATTATTTATCAAAAAAAAAAAAAAAAAAGGAGTCTTGGAATACTTGTGACTTTAGTTGTGTCATTCCCGGTTAAACACTTGACTTAATTCCATGTATTTTATTGTTTTAATTTTTTCGAGCTTTTTAGATGTCAACACTACACGGATATGGGTAGAGGATATATAACACATATTTTCTCTGAAATGTTTTTCATTTTTTTATGTGAACCTCATAGGCATTTTGGATGAAGGAGGGAGAGAGGATTTCATTTCTGGTTCACTTGAAGTTCTATAGAATAATACTGCTTAATATGTTGTTGCATATTCAAAATAACTCAGTTACACACTATGTTTGTTATTTTGTATGGAGACTTCAATTTACTATAACTGTTGTAGAAGAAGAGACAATTCAGTCATGTTCCATGTTCATCCTATTAATAAACAAAATAATCATAACTAAAGTACATAATTAGATGTAACATATTTGTCTCGTTGCATTGTTTGTTGAGCACGTTTTCACGCATACATGTGGATGGCTTTTGATTTCACCTTTATGTTGATCACTATTTACAGTTTTTGTGTGCATGTGCTGATTTAGTTATTGGAATGGAATCTAAACATTTTAACACTGCCGTGTACATGCCAACAGTTCCATTTTCAATTTTACCACCATTCTGCTTTCCCATTGTGCGTGCATATGTGTTGCTTAAATTATTGGCCTTTTTTACCACAGTCAATTGTATTGACCTTCTGCGCTCATGCATGACATGGATTGCGGATATTTGTTCTCAATTTTATGACCATTTTTTTCCCTTCTTTGGATGTGTCTCTGTTTACTTGTATTGTTGCAATGAATTTGGTAATAGTTTTGAGCGTTGACATAGCAGATGTCAAATTACAATTATCAAGTATTATATTCTGAGTACGGTTTTGTTCTGGAATATAGAAGAATCTTTCCTTTGATATTGTATATTTTACTGTGACCTTTTATGGCCATAAATGTTTAATGCAGTACAAGTTCTGGGTAGACGGTGTATGGCGATTCAATGATCAACAGCTATATGTTCAGGATGAGTATGAAAGCATTAATAATGTTATTCTTGTAAAAGAAATTATCATGGAAATAGATAACAGTGGGAATCCACACAATGAGGTCAGCGTCAAAACATATCTATTCTTTATTTCCTCTTTGTATGTGTCTTCTTGTAGTACTTAGTTCTCTCTCTTTCTCTCTCTCTCTCTCTCTCTCTCAATCATACTTGTCCACTCATTATTGCGTATGTATATTTTTGGCTCAATGCACTTGAATTGCATAATTGTTGTTTGATTTGTCATACCAATCAGGCATCATCATCGCGTGGCAGACATCATGAACCAGAGATTAGTGACATAGATATCTCTCGTCGTCACCTTTGCATGTATTTGTCTAGTCAAAAAATATATGAGTTAATTCCCAACTCAGGCAAGGTTCGATTGCCTTCTTTTGTTTGTTTTCTGTTTTTTATAGGTGTTTTCCTATTTTATCAATTGTAGGTTAGCGTATTTGATTAGGTTTACTAAGTTGGATGTACAATGTAGGTCTTTGCATTGGATGCAGAAGTGGCTGTGAAAGAGGCATTCCATGCTATGTACAAACAGGTACAACTTATGAAGTTTCAGTTGTGAATATAGAAAGAGCGATTGAAATTGGATTTCAGACTTTGATAATGTTGGAAGGTATTAGCCATTAGCTCCACTAGTGACTGTGCTTTCATAAAAGCACCATGATATCATGTAAGACACGTGGCCTAGCGCCCACCTGGAAGTATTGTTTGCTGTAGTCCAAAAAGGTGCCTCCTACTTAAAAATGGCTTATGCCGTCTTATAAGTCCATCCTGGACATCATTTGCGATGTGAGATGCCAACATCACCACCTTGGCGCAGGCATGATCATGCTCTAATATCATGTAAGATGCATGACCCAACCCGTACCTGAAAGTGTTGTTCCCCATGCTTGTGTGGCTATTTTGCAGTCTTAGAATCAATATTCTCCAATCTTAGTTCATTTCCCTCCATGACAGACAGTTCATGTCTTTTTATTGGTTGATGATGATGATTCATTTAAGACCAAACACCTTTAAAATAGAATTTCCAAATATTATGTCTTTCAATTTTTCCGTTTATCGTGGAAATCCGATAATAGTAAAACCTTTATGGTTTTTTAACCCATTGCCTTAAATCAAAAACTTCCACAACCCTATGATTTGTTAACAATTAACAGTATCTTCCAATGATTGGAGGTGCTAGCACTAAATCCAGAAACTTTGTTGGTGATTTTCACTTTTCCCAAATGAGAAGTTCAACAATACCTTCCTGAACCATAGAGGATACAAAAATAAATGCTGAGTCTTTCCAGTTGGATGCCATGATATCTTCAATGATATGAATTCATTGGTCAAGTAAACTTAACTTTATTATGTGTTTTGACAGATATTTATTCACCAAACTTTACCAATCCTGCAGCATGAATTATTAAAATTTGATATTACCTTTTAGAGGAACATTTCGAAATGTTAGGTTTCCTATATTGCTGTTAACAACAAAAAACTTGGTTTCACTATTTCTAATTTTGTTTTCATTCCTTCCTCTTTTTCCCACCCTCTCCAGCAGCCACCACCCACCCCGCTCATCACCACCCCCGACGGTGGCCTCCTTCGACAACCACCTCCCACTAATAGAAACCACCTTTAGCCGCCATCTTCATCAGCAAACCACCATCTTTGATTGTCAGCAACCCCCTTTAGCCACCACCTCTAGCAACCGCCAACCACCTTTGTTTACTACCTGCAGCAGCCGATAACCACCTGACTACCATCTCCAACCGTTGATAACCACCTTCAGCTACCACCTCCCGGATGTCACCCCTTCACTTGTTTTCAAAACAAATTTTTAGAGACATGTTTTTTTTGTTTCATTTTGATAAAAATATAAACATAAATGTCTTTAATATTTTTTGTAAACAAAAATAGTAAAATGTAAATATTACAAAACAGCCTGAAGATTGTTGTTTAGGCTTGTTAATGCTTCGTATGGTAATTCCTTTTTTAGGGTATATAAGGTTATATTTATGCTCTCTTTCCTTTTCTTTTTTCTTCTCCCTCAAGGAATTCAACTTGTTTGCATCAATGCTTTCATTTTTCTTATATGTTAACCATGTTGATTATTTCTTCTTTCTTTCTTTCTTTTTTTTTTCCAGGGACTTGCTGTTGTGCCAATCTGGGATAGCAATCGCAGACAAATTTCGGGGATGCTGACTGCTTCTGATTTCATTTTGATATTAATGGAGGTATTAATGCATGTTCTTATCTGCTAGCCAGAATTAGGTGCCTATTCTAGCATAAACCTGCAAGTTGCAGACAGCTTTTACACTGCACATTGTTTCTGTGGGCTCCCATCTTTCTTGATGGTGCATGCATTTGGTTAGCTGGTCAGTAGTTCAATTTTGACAATTTGATTTCTACAATCAGTTACTAGCAACTCATTGCTTATCTTTTGGAGATATGACTTGATTATTTTGTTGTTGTTTGCATCCCTTGTAATTCAATGTATGTCATGCTCTCTTCTTGAGATATTTGTTTTTTGGATAATCAATTTATGTTTCCTTGTTAATTTCTGCAGCTTCACAGAAATCGTGCAACACTGACTGATGAACGGCTGGAAGTGCATACGATATCTGCCTGGAAAGAAGGGAAATCCCAACAATATGGAGAAGCGGTTAGGGCTGCACAGCTGAAGTTTGGTAGGCCTTTAATATGGGTGAGTGCTCCTGCCCACATAGAATATTCAGGGGATTTTGACCTTTTTGCTTTTATTCATGTTCCCATCATCTAATCCCCCCTCCCTCCATCTTTTTGCAAAACACACACACGAAACTTGGTAAAGGAAACTGGAATTTCTTGGTGGTAGATTTCTTAATAAATGTTTCACTCTTTCATTTTTTCAATTGATGAGATATATGGTTATATTCTCATATGGTAGTGTTTCATAGATTTTAATATTGTTGTTCTTTGCCCTTCTACTGTAACCCACAGGCTGGTCCCGATGAGTCTCTAAAAGACGTGGCTCTAATGATTTTGCAAAATAAGATATCAACTGTTCCCATTATATACTCAACAATAGAGGAATCTTGCCCACTGTTGTTACACATAGCATGCCTCGGTGGAATACTAAAATGTGGGTGGCTTTGTCAAGTTATTTAAAGATCCATTCTCTAGTAATATTGTATATGTTGTTAATAGCTTATCTTCTCTTCTCTCTTTTTCTCGTAAAACTTAGATATATGCAGGCACTTTAAAAACCATCTTGATTGTCTGCCTATTCTACGACAACCAGTCGGTAGCCTCCCTTTAGGTACATGGAAAAGTGAAGTTGGAGAAGCACATGCTCATCTGTTAGCATTACGTCCCAGTGAAACTCTTAGTTATGCTCTTAATATATTGATAGAAGGTGCGCATTGACTTTTCTAATATTTCAGCCTAAAGTTTTACTTTTATGTATACCTGACTTGCACCCCACACACGAACAATTCCCATCATAAAAAATGTGCCTGCTTGCTCTCTCTCTCTCTCTCTCTCTCTCTCTCTTGGTGTGACATTGCAGTATAGTCGATTTCTGTTATTGAATGAACACATTTTTTCACTCAATTTATTTATTTTTACACGAAATTGCTGGTTCTGCAAAATGTTCCTTTTAGGCCGTTACTTTATGCATTGTCATATTTTAAAAACATTTAATGATCCATATCATCATTCTCCAGTTGAATTGGTGTTACCATCTATTAGTTTGATTGCTAATTAGTCAAACATTATATCTAGATGGGTTGTAAAGCCAAACTTTGATTTTTATGTTTTTGTCTGTTTTTTTCTTCTACAAATCTCTTATCTGAAATTTTCAGTTAAGTTGTTGCTTGGGCGAGTAATTTATCTAAATTTTGGTCAACTATGTGGGGTGCATATACGGTTTTATATTACCGATTTCACCCATCTTCCTTTTCTATTTTCCAGCTCAAATAAGTTCAATTCCAATTGTTGATGGTAAAGGCTCCCTTATAAATGTATATTCCAGAAGGTAATTTCTTGGTTTTAGGCCATTTTAAATTTTTCATGTTTGTCTCCAATACATATTCAGTTTTACATCGTTTTAAAGTTGGTTTCAACTTAATTTTTTATATTTAGTGATATCACCTCTTTGGCAAAAGATAGTCTGTATACTCGTATTCAGCTTGATCAGACAATTATGTCTCAAGTAAGTCTTGTTGACTTGTTTTCTTGCTATATTCTATAATTGCTTTATAGGTTTGTCCACCATGTTCTTTATTTATTTTGGATAACGAAATTATTCCTTCATGGGTTGGTCCACCTTGTTTTTTATTTCTTAAGTTGGGATCATCCTAATAAATTTGAGATTCTTCAATTATTCATTATAAGATAATTCCATATTGCAAGTTGTTGTGAAAAGTTTGAGAAATCTTTTTAATAACAATGCAAGGTATGCTTAGAAATTTAAAAAGCATGAGTTCTCCTTCCATGAATATTTCAAGAAACTTGGAAAAATACAGGAATTATTTGTGTTATTCAGGTTATTTGGGAAAAAATCTCCAGTTAATGGAATATACAGGATTGTTCCAGGATTCACTTGTTTGAGAGATTCTAAAAGACTAGAGAATTTTGTTGTCATGGTTGGGATTAGGGTTACAAGATAGGATTCTCAGCTATTGGTTTAACACAATTCATTGTTTTAGAAGTTTAGTTGGGATGCTGATGTAGGACAGCTTGTTGGATTTTCATAATAGAGGTTATTTGATGGCCTAAACAGTGAGTAATTTAGGATTTTAATGGTTAAATTGGAGGCTTATAAGTTGGAGAAGGGATTAGGGTTAATTTGGGGGTGATTGAATAGGGCTTTGGGGCTGAAAAGTGTACTAGATGGTTGTGAATGGTAACTCGAGAATTAATGGTATCTGCGCAAAGAATAAAAAAGAGAAGAAGAAGATAGTTTTAGTTATCACTCTTAGAATTTCCTAGGTATCACACCTAGGATTTGATTGATCAATTAAATAACTTGATCCGTAAGATGACTCATGGGCGGCCTCTACAACCCATGTCAACAAATGTGAAAATTACCAAAATACCACTCATCAAAAAATCCTAGATAACATTAAAAAAAACCCATAAAATTTGAATAATATTAGAAACATAATTATAAATGGTTCAAATTGATCCCAATTGAGTTTTCGGCGCCAAATACGATTTGGGAATATCTTAGTAATTTACTTAACTCTTCTAGAGGGGGTTAGGAACCAAAATAATTTATCAAGTGGATTGTGATCAGACTCAACGCAGCTGAGCATCTTAAGCCTGAGGCCTAGACAAAATGTTACCTTTATATGCACAACAAACTTAGTCAATCAACAATACCTTTTTCAAGCTTTATTTGGTCGGGGGAAGTTATCAATTAGAATGTTTTTTTCTACAAATTCTGTACCGATAATGTTCTGAAATCTGACTCAGGTGCTTGAGCTAGTAGATGAACATCATAGATATCAAACATGTACACGATCCGATCCCTTGTATGTGGTAATGGAGCGCCTTTCCAATCCAGGTTCATATTTTTTGGGACTATGATTTTCTATATTAAGATATTAAGCATCTTGTTTGGTTTTCGAACTCAAAAATTGATTTTGAGTTGGATTTTTTTTAAAAATTTTTTTTTATTATTTAAATGCACCTAATTTAGATACACGTAAAAAATAAAATATTTATAAAGAAATCTGAAAAAGTTCATTAAAGACAAACAAAACGCCAACACTTTTTCGTGTTTTTTCGTCTTCAATGAACTTTTTTATATTTCGTCACAAATATTTTATTTTTTTAGGTATATCTAAATTACGTGCATCTGAAATGTAAAAGAAATTTACTAAAATATGAAAAAAAAATTCACTGAAGGACAAAAGAGCACGAAAAATAAAAATCTTCAAAAACAGTTTGCAATATAACATATTGGTGCTTTTGTTTCAGTGGTGCGGCGCCTTATTGTTGTTGAGGCTGGCAGCCAGCAGGTGGAAGGCGTAATCTCATTAACTGATGTATTTAACTTTATTTTAGGCTAAATTTCTTTGTAAATTCCACCCGTGGCATTTAGATTTCAATCTTGTACTATTAATATATTTTTCAATATTACCAATCTTTCTTTTCTGGCTGTCCTTTGTTCCTCTTTCTCTTCTTTTGTTTGTTCTCTAACAAGTTTGTTTTTGAAATGTCCAGAAATGGTTGAAGTCAGAGAGTTGTCATATATTGAGGGGCAGACAATTAGCTGATTTAATAATGTGATTGAACTTCTTGTTGTTGTTTGTTTTTGTGTTTTTTTGTTTTGTTTTGTTTTGTGATTCAGCGGGCAAGAATTTTTATGGACAGCACAGGAAATACTTCATCATAGACTTGATGCTTGATTTAGCAATTGAGAGTATCGAATGAATTTTTTTGTCTTCTTGTAATTTTGATAGTGTTATAACACAGAAATGGTTTACTGGACAGAGGTAAGATCGGTGAGCCCCACATTTTCCTGGACCTTACCTCTCGTCTCTGTTTTATGCATCCTTTCTGGAAATAAATAATTAAATAATAATAATAAATATATTAAAAAAAATTGTTAATTTTGATATACTTAAAAAGTATGAAATTTGTACAAAAAATTTTAAGAAATTCATTAGATACAACAAAATATGAAAATGTATTAAATTTTGTATTTTTTTTTTTTTGGTATTTGGTATGTTTTTTAAAGTTTTTTTTAATATAAATATTATACTTTTAAGTGTATTTAAATTAGGTGTATTTAAAAAAAATTACATAAAATATTTAAAAAATTTACTCAAAAATAAAAAATTGAATTTAAAAAAAAAACAGTGTAAACTAAACAGTTTTTTTTTTTTTATTTTTTTATAATTATTTATTTTAACTATTGCTATCATAAATGGTTTTTTTTTTTTTTAATCGGAAAGAAAATCTTCATTACAAAACCGAGAAAAGATTAAATTAATCTGATAAGAGAAAATTTCTACATAATGAAAGATCCAAGCCTTTATAGAGGAGGAGAAATGACCCTCTCAAGGGAGAAAAACAAACCTTAGGAAGGATTATTACATTACCAAATTAAAAATTAAGAAAATCAAACAAAAAAAATCAGATCCACGTTACTGCTAAACTCATCCAAAATTTCATTGCTTCATAGCCTTCAACTTGGAATATGAAAACCTCACCTCCACTAGTCAAGATAGAACACTATGGTTAAGGTAGTCGTTTAGCGTAAAACAAATCCCTTATTCAGCGTTACTGTTCGAACTGTGAAATTTTTTTTAAAATCATATTTTAAAGTTTTAGATTCGAGAGTGAAGCAAGCAAGACAATAATGACCAAATTAAGAAGATAAATATTAAATTTAGGTTAAAAGGAGGTCGAAGGGAAGGAGAAGAAGATCGGAGAGGTGAGAAAATCAACGCCGGCTTGCTTTTCCATTGCAAAAAACACCTAGAAAGAAAAGGAAAGAGATTGAACTTGACTCAAATGCTTGGCTGGATGGGCATCAAACAAGTAAATGACTTGACCATATTTGGGCATATTTGAATTTCACCAACAGCGCATTTGTTAAACGGTAAATTTTAAATCAGTATAAATTTTAAAACGAAATTATAAAAAGTGATAAGTTTTATAAATATTATTAATTAAAGATGTTTTTCATGATTGTGTAATAAATTTTTAGAGATACCACTGTGGGGGTAATTTCCCCTTTGTTAAATTGCATGGCATAGATAATATAATGTATAATCATTTTAAATTTTTTTAACTAATTTCTTTGAAAGGCTGGTTAACAAACTCCAAAAAAATTCATTTACATAAAAATGAGGGTAAATTACACTCACATTCCTTTAGATTTGGCAAAATACAACAAACACCACAATTTTGACATAATTAAATTGACTTTTCTTTTAGTAAAATTAAAAGACCGAAACTAATATAAATAGTATGAAAATAAAGATAAATAAGATAAAATATACATTTCAATGTAAAAGAGATAATAATATTATTTTTTCACCTATAATCAATTTTTGATAAAAATGGGCTACATATTATATGAATTAAGAGTTTCAGAGAGCCCAATCTATTTATGTCAAACTTATAAGACTTACTGTATTTTTTCTAAAACTGAGGAGAGATCAATGTAATTTACGCTAAAAATAAAGAAGAGGTGATGTTGGTAGTATTTTTGTTTTCTTTGGTTTGGAAACAAAAACAATAAAAAGTCAGAAAACACCATAATTTTCATTTTCTTTTTATCTTTGTGGAAAAACAACCTTTGAAAATTTTAAAGTTTTCATATTATTATTAATTTTTAAAAGTAAATTACTTTAAAAAATTTAATTAAAATAATTTTTAGAAAAAATAAGAACATGAAAAGTGAAAATTAAGGCTATATTTACTTGAACGTAAAATGTGTAAGTCAAAAATATTTTACACATTTTTCATTATACATATATAATATTTTTTATCATAAATCTCAAAATGACTTATCATTAAAAATTCTCTAATCTTTGAACAATAAAAAGAAACAAATAAAACAAATTTGTATGGAAAATATGCTGCGAAAAAAGCGTGGACGGCAGGATTCGAACCTGCGCGGGCAGAGCCCACATGATTTCTAGTCATGCCCGATGAGCCAAGGTTCTCTCCTTGCAGCCTGGTACTTGCGCCCGTCCTTGCAGGCCTTCGGGTCTACTTTTAGGCCCAATTTTAATAATCCGAACCGTTCATATTTTATGATTTATTCAGTATATCATACCTGTAAAAAATCAAGTTGATCGGATATCAGAAAGTATGTGTTTGGAAAACTGTTTATTAAATTATTTAAAAAATAATTTTTAGTTCAATCTTTCGAACACATACTTTCTGATATCCGATCAACTTGATTTTTTACAGGTATGATATACTGAATAAATCATAAAATATGAACGGTTCGGATTATCAAAATTGGGTCTAAAAGTAGACCCGAAGGCTTGCAAGGACGGACGCAAGGATGGAGGCTGCAAGGAGAGGATCCTGATTCATGCCCGATAACCACTCCGGCACGTCCACCTGCTTGGAAGAAGGGCGTGTATTTTATTATTTAATTTATATATTATGGGGACTTATTGCTACGCGGGTTTATTGTTCAATAGATCCTATGATAATTAATGATATTTTTCATCAAACACTATTAAAAAAAAGTTAATAATTGTTAGTTTTTAATGACAGTTTGAAAATTTTATCATTAAAAATATCACTAATTATAAATTTTAGTGACAGTTTAAAAAAAGCATCATAAAAAAATGTAACTATGTTTCAACTCTTAGCTATAATTTAAAGAATTCGTTACAAAAAAATGCTATTAATTGTAAGTTTTAGTTACAATTTATAAAAAATTATAACAAAAAAGTTACTAATTGTTAGTTTTTAGCACATAAGTAAAAAATTATCACAAAAAATTATTTTTATCTATAATTTTACTAATACTTATTTTTAATAGGACTTTATGGGAATTACGTTCAATTATTAGGACCTATTAATGGTTTATCCTATAAATTATAGCAAACAAAGACAAAAAATGACATACAAAGCCCACTTTTTAGACCTATTTTATAGACCTAATAATGTATAAGTGATATGATTGATTGATAATTAAAGAAAGTATGAGAGAATGTGTTATTTTTAATATCCTAATTGATTATCACATCATTAAATTTAAAAATTAAGTCTAATTTTTTTTTTTATCTTGAATCAATGCTCAAAATAGAATTACTTAATATTAATTTTCTAAAATCTCTAACTTACCTTTTAAATACTGTGACTTCTGGGGCTACCTTGAATGGCTTGTAGGGCTCCTACTATATCATTTAGGGATGGTTTGAAATGATCTATATAAATATATTTCTTAAATTTTTATGAAAAGATGTAAAATGTGATAGAGAAGTGATATAATCCAAATAAAAATTAATATGACCAAAGTAAGATATAAAAAAAAAAAAAAACTATTCTAACATATTCCAAACAAGATCTTTAACTCCAATAATACTTTGTTTATATGATTGTCGAAAAGTAGAGTTGGTTATTAATATTTTAAATGTCAAAATCAATATAAAATAGAACATTGTATCTTGTGCATAAGGTATCATTTACACCAAGGTTTAGAATAAATAAAAGATAGACAATCTTATTCATATTTTTTCGTGAAAAGACTAGTTCTTACTATTGAACCACCACAAAATTAAATGCAAACAGTTGATGGCACTTGTCAATAAAATATACTAAATACATAAATAAAAAATTGGTGTGTGTGGTTAGAATGAATGTAGAGTTTAAACCATGGTTACTAAATTTTACAATTTGTGAAGAGCAAAAAGCTAGACAAGCACATTTATAACCCTATATGAGTTATTGGGTTATATGTACATTCTCGCTCCTTATCCATAGTTGTCAAAAACATTGTTTTGGAAGTATTCATGCGCTATGAAACAAAATTTTCCACATTTAGCTCCTATGTGTCTCCCACTAATTTGATTAGTGCCTTGGACATGTAAGATTCAATCATAACCATTTGAATGGGGTGCATGCATGGTAAAAAAGTGAAGGGTCCAAACTAAAGTGATTGTACTCCACATAAAAAGAGAAAGCCATATCTACTTACATATTCTTCCTTTAGACTCACCTATTTTGTTTTTGCAACCTTTCCCATTGTTTATCCTTTCATTACCTTCTTTTGACAAGTCACAGCCCACTTGTTAACCAACTTTACCCATCCTCTTTTTTTTTCTTTTTCTTTCTTATAATCATAATTACTATATTTTGTTTATTATTTTATATGTCAATTTGTATTGAGAATAGATATAAGAATTGAAAGTAATTATATCAACTCAGACTAATACATAAGATCCTAAACAAAATGGAACGAGAAAATGTGATCATTCTAACACTGTGCTTGTTTGGTACAGCTTAAAAATTGCTTATTTCAGCTTTTAACTTAATTTAAGTTACAAGTGGCGTATTTGAAAGAGCTTAAAATCACTTTTTTTTAGCTTAAATTAAGTCAAAAAACTGATTTTTGGCTGAGTGACTTTTGGGGTGCTTATTCATTCAGCTTAAGCGGGAAGCTAAAATTTGAGGGGCAAAATTACTTAAATGCCCTTTATTCATTTGAAGTATTACCAAATTGCCATTATATAAAGTACACAAATAATCACTGTTTCTCTGAGGGAGGGAGGGAGGGAGAGAGAGGGAGAGAGAGAGAGGCGATTTTTGGCAAGCTCTGGTTCATTCTCTCTCTCTCTCTCTCTCTTTCTGACAAACCAGAGCTCTCTTCTCTTCCTCTCTCTTTTCACCACCACCATCGCGTTGATGATCGAAACCCTAGCTTCACGATTGAAACCCTAACCGTCGACTGCGTGATGATCGTGATAAAAAACCCTAACCGTCAACTGCGTAATGATCGCGATCGAAACCCTAATCGTTGACTGGTGCATTGTCTCTCTCTCTCTATCTTTCTCTTTCTCTCTCTCTCCGGCGTTGGCTCGTCGATGTTCTCTCTCCGGCGATGAATTTCAATTTTTTTTTGAGGTTTTTTGTGTTTTTTTATTATTATTTTTAAATAATAATAATTAAGCATTTTATAATTTAGCCATCAATAATAATTTAGCCATTTTAGCCATTAATTAAGCATTGATACTAATTAATAATTTTAGTATTAATTGATGCTACTTAAGCAATTAATTGACACTAATTAATTTATAATGAAAAAAATAAAATAATTTTACTAAAAATGAAAAAATGAAATATCACTAAAAAAATGATGTAAATTGAAAAAAATTAAAGGATTTGTCAAATGAAAAAATGAATTACTAAAAATGGAAAAATGAAATATCACTAAAAATAATTAAAATGAATAATAATAATAATTGATGGAAAAATTGATACTAATTTTAATAATCGATTAAATTAATAATAATAATAATAATAATAATAATAATAATTGATACTAATTTTAATAATTGATGAGCAAATTGATAATTTTTATAGTAAAATCACAATTAATAATAATAATAAAGAAAAGAAATACATATATAAATAATTAAAATGAATATATAAAAAATAATATGAAATGAAGTCACAACATTAATATGAATTAGAACATGAATTAATTTTAATGAATTAATAAATTAAACAAAATTAACAAAGAAAGAACATAAGAAAAAAATTTTAAAAAAAGAAAAGAAAATAAGGTGAAAAAGAAAATAAAATAAAGAAAAATGAAAAAGAAAAAGAAAAAAAATGTATTATTAATGAAATCACAAATTTTATATCTTATATGGGCAAAATTGACAATTATACAGCAAAAAGCTATTTTACAGCTTATTTATTAAACGCTATTCTGCTGCTTAAATTCATAATCCCACAGCTGTACTAAACAGGTTATTAGCTTATGTTCATAGGTATAAGTTATAATCTATAATCACTTTTCTACAACTTTACCAAACGAAGCCATTATTAATCTTAAAAATCTATTTCCTTTAGCTTTTCTCCTCTTGCAATGACAAATCTCTCTCTCCCTCTTTATCCCTTTACAGATTAGTTTAATTCATGTCAAAAGAATAAAAATATACTCAGTTGGTGATAAGTATGATCCCCAATCAAAATGTGATACCCTTTATTGATTGTGCTTGTTTTATTTTTAACTTTGAAATCGTGACGGGTCCGAGTTTTTTGTTTGAAAGTTCATTATATATACATAAACCAAATGGGAGGATTTTTATGAAAAACAACAAGATCATTGTCTCAATTGTGTATGTGAACTTTGAGGCCCTGTGGCACCAAAGATGTGCAGGAAGAAGAAGGAGAAGAAGAAGAAGAAGAAGAAGAAGATGGCAACAATGAGAAGGACTTATATATCTATAAAAATTGACTTATCTCCTGTAACTGTATATTCAATTGAGAGAGAATATTTGGAGTGTGAACCCTATAGTTTCTCTGGCAATTGGATATCCATTTTATTCATATGTGGTTTCATACTATATCCTCTTCCACATGTCATCCGAAGAGGGTGCGAAGGCAAGTCATAGAGGCAAAGGGAAGGCAATGCCTTTCTTCCAGGTTTCTAAGTTGTGTTTGGGTTTAGGATTTGGGTAGGATTTACAGAGGAAAAAGAAAAGGTCAGTGAAATGGAGAAAATATTTAATTTACATTTCACTGATAATTTCCCTCACCTTTTCTATTTTCTTCACAAATTCCTACCCAAATTGTAAATCTAAACACAACTCAAAGGTTCTTCTTCATGTTCCTTTCTGGGCTTAAACTAGGGTTTGTTTTGCTCATTGATTTGTGTTAGTACTGTAATAGTGGGTCAAGATATAAGCCATGAACACTACTTAGTGTTCATGACAAATGCATGGCCGTGTGTTAATGCTTTATCATTTGCAGTTTTTTTTTTGGTGGGCACATATCCTTTTCTATGTACTCAATGGCTGCATTAAGCTCAGAAAACCATGTACGGCTTATAAATGGTGTTTGGTGAACCTTGTATCTTTGTGATGTTTAAGCCATGATCAAGTAATTTCACATTTAAATGTTTGAATGGTTTGATGATTAAGGGACAATTTGACAAATGATGAAAGCAATTATTAAATGTGATAGGCATTATTGGAAAACTTAGAAAGGAAAAAAAAAAAGGCCACAGTCTATACCAAAAGAGGTGTAGGCTTTACATGGTAGAATAGATTCTTTCATTCTAAGCACATCAATGGCTCCCCCACAAAGCTAGAAAATAGGAAATGTCTTCTATTGAAAAAAAATTCTACCAAACAAACAGAGGGTTAGACTATCAGAATCTATGGCAGCCACACAAACAATCTCTTTACATGTTAGATTTAGTTACTAGAATTTAGATAACAAAATGACCAGCTTGTAGATGACAAAGCTTCAATTTATTTTTCAAGGTATTACATACATACACGATTTAATATCACCAGAATCTGCACAAAGTCTATGAAGACTCAATACGATGCTGTGTTGACATTGTTATTGATTGGTAGCCATTTTTTCTTTTACTCCTTCGGTGGTAAGCAACAACTGCAACAATGGCTATTGCAACTCCAAACAAGGTTACACCCCATACAGAATTGGGTACTGTCATCTTTTCTTGTTTCTGCAAAAAAAGAAGCAAGATTAGAGAGTCAAAGACTAAAAAGTTAGTTGATAAAAAAAAATAGCAGAGTAATGTTTATCCAATGTTGAAGATTGTCAGTTACTTAGCTTTATACATATCGGCAATTTTTTATTTTTTATTTTGTAAAATCTTCCTTGCATATATATCCAAACATATTTTAGTGTCTCAGCAAATCAAAAATGTTAACTTTTAAAGTGAAAAAAAAAAGGAGATAAAAAAAAATTCAAATTTTTGAAGGGACCGTAATTAGAAAGAGAGTGTAAGAGTTGATTTGTCGTGTGAATAAAATCACCTCATAAAAGAAGAGAGGCTCAATTAGTACTCATTAATGGGTATTTGGGAGGGATTAGATTGAGCACATACTTAACCTTTCGCATCATCTCTCTTAACTAATAAAGAAGATTTCTTTATCCCAAGATTTGTCCATACATTTGTGATTGGAACATGCAAAATTTAAAAATAAAAAATAAAATTTTAAGGCAAATGAAAATCTTACTTCAACTGGAGCATGGACTACAGAATTGGGGTTGTTTGGTAAAATATCATCTGCAACCAAAATGTAGAATAGTCCCATAACTCCACTGTGGCTTTGGCTTCTATTGTAAATAGATTCCAGAACAAGAGTCTCCCCATCTGATATCTTGACAGAGCCCGGATTAGGATAACAAGTCGACATTCCTACAATGTAACCTTCTTCATTCCCTGCTTCCTTTCCTTCTCCATATGTTGGTATTGAAGAGCATAAAATCCGTCCATCCTGACTCAAACCAAGCGCATGTACAAACGTTGAAATAGACATCAATACCATAAAGTGTTCATTATAGAATGATTTCATTGAGATTTTGATAAGATTAAAATCAAATGCATTGCAGAAAAAAGTTCAATTAAGTGCAGAGAACACAAAAATTCAGAGGGAAAAAAAAGAAGAAAGATTGGCAGTGCGCTACAAACCAATTTCATGATCTTAGATAGCAAGATCATAGTTTTAGAGTATATTGTTACAGATAGATAGGACTGTCTATCTAGTTCATATCATACAGTATGTCATTACACATTGAACTCTCTAATTGATGTTGTTTTGAAGATTGAGTATTCAAACATGATTAACTAGTGTTCTTTTTATGATAATCTTCATAGAAGTTATTAACTCTATGAAAACCATCACCGTTGGCAGTTAAAGAGGCTAAATCAAACCAAAAAAAGAAAAAAATAAAATAAAATCTGATCTATTATTGGCTAAAAAATCAAAATATATGAGGTGAAAAGGACACGTATGAAAAAATACCTCTCCATAAAGAGTAGAACCAATTCCACCGGTATGCTGGTGTGCAACACCATAGATGACATTGCCACCAGTGGGCATACTCAAGCTCACTGTTCTATTGTCAATGCAACCTTCATTACTTACACTGGTGCCAGCGCAAGACTCAACATCATACTCTATCTGTATTTACACAATTTGAATTACTTTTTACAATCTAGAAACAAAGACAAATTAATGAATGAAAGAAAAACCAAAAAAAAAAAAACAACACAAGATTACATGGTTTTCCAATAGAATTTCACATCTCCCCTCTCCCCCCCCACCCCAACTTATTGCTTTTAATTTTTTATTTTATTTTATGGTACTTCTAAAATAATGGTTATACATGTACGAAGATAATACAAATTAGAATCTACCTTAAATCCATCATCTACAATAAATTTAATTTTTTCCCCCCCTTCGATTACTAGTGTGGGTAAGTCATGTCATCTAAAAAGGGTGATCATTTTCACACGCCTTGTATAAGAAAATAATTGGAGCCTACGAATTTGCTTTTGAATGAGATTTGTAAGTCTTATATTTTCAAAAATTGGACTGCATAGCTACCATTTCTTGAAAATGACTAAAATAACATATGTATAGTGAAATTTCACACTCACCAGGCAATGATGTTTTGTGTCGAGTGCATTTGAATCACCCTTCTTCCAAGTGTCAGTGACATCAAGTACATAAATTTTAACAGGCACAATAGAACTATCCCAATCGACCCATTTAACTGTATATCTCATAAATAGCGTTCTCTTCACACCCTCAAACCCTTCTCTCACCTTACACTTTGTCCCATCATGGCAACAATCCATGCCTCCAATGTACCCTTTCCTCAAAGCTTCCCCATTTTCATCCTCAGTAGCATTGTACAAATCACACCTACACTCAGTACACCCCAACTTATCTTCCGCACCACGTGTATCAATCGCGTGCACATTCATAAACCACCTCTCCTCAAATCCTTGAGGGATTTCTATTGGATTACCCACTTCAATTCCATAAGGATCCGGCACGTGTGTGTCTGTTCTTCGTGTCTCAGATCCGAGCCCAAAAATTTGCTCTAGACCATTTTTGCAAAGTCCAGAGTTACTCACTATGATGTTGTCAGATTTGTTTTTTGGAGATTCAATGCCTTTGCGTTGATAGTTTCTGAGTACGATCCAATGGTGGAGATAGGTTTCATGGAGGGGGATGGGATTCCCCGCTTCATCAACTACTTCAGCATTGAAACTCTTGATAGCGATATGACCTTTTGGAAAATCAATGTTGTTGAAGACTCTGTTGGCTACTGATCCGGGTTTGAGCTCAAATTTAGGCGATAAATAGACAGCAGATTTCATGCCATTTTCGTTATTTTCACGTGCATGCGAATTTGTAAGGGTTGAAGCCACTAGTAGAGTTATGAAAAAAAATAACCGAATTTTAGAACAATGTGCCATTTTTCTTTTTTCTTTTTTTGCTGTTGATGTCAATGTCTCTGGTGAAAGCATAACGATCAAATGAATTAGAATATATTGATTGAATAGAATGACAATAAGATTAAAATGACAAAAAGAACAAATGATTATCCAACGCATATATTGATTTTACAAGTGTATAGAACAAGTGATAACAGACCTAGTATAAAGCAACTAAAGAAGATATATTCAATTTAACAACTATAAAACAGAAATCCAGAGAAAACATATTTGACTATGAAAAAATCTAAATACCCTCGAGATATTGATTTGTGATTATATTTTAATTTAAAATAGTGAATATTAATCACAATCAAACAATCAACGACAAATCGGCACAATGATTTAATATGAAAAAAAATCACAATTAGAGCGTCTCCAATTGTGATAAAAAAATCATGGGTCAAAGCCACAAAACAATCCACTATGAAGAATTCAAGGAATTATACATGAGTACTCTTAATTACCTAGCAAATCAACGTCTGAATTGAACCAAACCCAATGTGCCTCTTCTATCACCATTTTCACTTTGAAACTGCTTTGCCAACGTTGAATCCACAGCGCTGATGTAAAATCCACAATGATGAACCATTTCGGAATCCACCGAAGAACACTTCTCTCTTTATGTAAATAAAGGAACGAAAACAACCATTGATGTTTGACACTATGTAGTTCGTTGATCAATTGATCACCTTCTATACATCAAGGAAGCTCATATAAGACACCCTCTAATGTAGAACACTCTGTATTTTACTTATCTCTAAGAATTTGGATGGGTTAAACAAAAAAAAAAAAAAGAAAACGACACAATTTATAAAAAATAGAGCCGCGAATACCGCTCGAGCGCACACTTCGTCACTCAAGTGATGTGAGTAAAGGCGGTGAAAAACATAGAGGCTAACCGTTTGAGTAGTAAAACACCTTTTCCAGAAGTTCTAAATGGAGGCTGAAATACTGGATGATCCACTTCACTGTTCGAGGACACAAATGACCGCTCGAGCGGTGAAACAACTTTTGGCTTCGGGCCCCATACATAGTCAGCGAAGTGACAAATAAGGAATTCTCAAGATATGGAATGTCAGCACAAACTCCTCTACACAAACACAATTCGGGTTGGATTCGCATCTAAACACTCATAGCCTCACTGAAACATAAAAGCGAATAAAATTACAACTAAAAGGAGTTTTGTCAAACAAGATTACCAATTACAAAAACCTAGCAGACTAGCAGAATTTTGTAGCAGGAAAAATAAATAAATAAGAGAAGCCTGAAAGGGAAGGAGAAGCCTAAAAGGGAAGGAGCTTTAAATACTAAAAAGGCCATAGGATGGAGAAGTTATTCTGTGCTCCTAGGGTAACGCCTCAACAGCTACAAGTCCCACATGATGACATGGGCCCAAATCAAACAGATTGTGGCATTGTCTAAGGTATTTCTATGAGTTTTCGTAATGCGAAGAAGATAGAAATTGGTCGTGAATTGATGGATGGCATCTATACTATTAAATAAAGCAAATGCTAGAGTTCATGTTGATGTCACGAAATTTCTATTTTGAAAACACCCCTAAAAGTAGTTAGTTTTTGTAACCGCAAATACTCTAACGTAACTACTCCTCTATATATGAATGTTCACACTTTCTAGTATCTATAGATATATGTTAAGTTTTTATTTTTGGCAATCCTGTTTGACAAAACTCCTTTCAGTTATAATTTATTCGTTCTTTTATTTCAGTGAGGTTATAAGTTTTAGATGCGAATCCAACCCAAATTGTGCCTTGTAAAGAAGTTTGTGATGTCTATTCTTTCATGTTTGCCACTTCGCCGACTATGTCAGGGATCAAGCTACTCGGTCAGCTCGCGGGGGTTCAGGGGGCAACGCCCCTTGGTTGGTCCGAGGCAGCGCCCTGGCGGGGTCGAGGGGCAACGCCTCCGAAGCAAAAAGCAAAATTGCAGTCGAATTTGTTTGTCTGCTCGAGCAGCTATTCTTGCGCTAGAGCAGAGATCGCAACCTTTCAGAAGTTTCACTCATCTACAAAAGTACTGGGAGTTATTTTTTTCTACTCGAGTGGCCATTCCTACGCTCGAGCATAGATCTGCTAGAGTGGCCATTCTTGCGCTCGAGCGAAGATCGCGGATTTGTTTTCTATAAATATGTGTTTCAGTCCAATTTTAGGGTACGGCTTCCAGATCTTCTTCTTGGGTATTAGGGTTTTCAAATGGGGCTTCTTTGCTTGTTTCCTTTGATATCTGTGAGAGTTTAATCATGAATTGAGTAGATTATATCAAAGAATTTGTTTAGTTTGGTTTATTAAAAAAAGAGAGAGTTGTTCTTCGTTAGATTTCGTGGAATTTAGGCCTGAAACTTTGGTGGATTCTAGAGTGGCTCATCGTCGTGGATTCGACATTGGCAATGTGAATTCAACGTTGGGCAAGACAATTCCGAGGTGAAGATGGGGCTGGAAGAGGCACATAGGGGTTGGTCGATTCAGGCGTAGATTCGCTAGGAAATTGAGAGTACATTTGTGTAATTTCCTTATGTCTTCTTAGTAGATTGTTTTGTGGCTTTTGCCCGTGATTTTTTTATCACAATTGGAGGTACTTTAATTGTGATTTTTTCATGTTAAAATCGTTAAATTGATTTGTCTTGATTATTTGATTGAGATTGTTATTTACGACTTAAAACTGATATATAATTATAAATCAATATCTAGGAGATTTCGAAATTTTTCAATATATATATATATGGGTCAACAATACATTGCTATTTGAAATCAAGATATTTTGATTGAATTTATCAATAGATTCATAACTTTTCGAGCAAAACCAATATCTATTCAAACTCCCTTTACTTGTAGGAGTGTAGAACTGTGGATTAAGTTATGGTTGGAGACCTACGCATGGTGAACTAATCGAGAGAAGCTATACATCTTGTTTGATTTCAATTTCCTAAAAATTAAGTTTTTAGTTTTTCATATTTTTTGTTTTTAGTAATTTTTTTTTAATATTTTAAGTAATTTTTTTACTTTTTAGATACACTTAATATAAATACAATTAAAAAATATAATATTTATGAAAAAATCTTTAAAAAAAATTACTAAATAGCAAAAGTACAAAAATAAAAATACAAATTCAATATATTTTTGTATTCTTGTGTATTTATTGATTTTTTAAAATATTTTTTTTATAAATATTTTATTTTTTAGGTATATTTAGATTAGGTATATCTAAAAAGTAAAAATAAAAAAATCTTAAAATATTGCAAAAATTTACCAAAAACAAAAAATTAAAAACTAAATTTTTAGAAAAGTAGAACCAAACAAGGTGATAGATATTTGAAATGACCCCTACATGATCGTGTCACACTAGGTGTTATCGGGGCAGTATCCGAGAAACAAACAATACAAATGACCCCTACATTTTCAGAGTATTCATGTTTCTTAGGTCAAAGTAAGGAAAAAGGGAATCAATTTAACAAAATGTTTCTAGCTCTTAATTCTTTTTTCTTTTTTGGTAAGAATTTAGCTCTTAATTCACAACACAATAAAAGAAAGCAAAAAATACCAAATGGATCATGTTTAAGTTCATTCATCAAACACAACATGAGAATCAATCATCATCTCTTGAATTCCACTACTGAAAAGAACTAACTAATACTAGTACCTATATATGAAGATGGTAATTCTAATGCAATTTGTGGGGATATATTTTCTGAGTACCAACACATGGCAAGGTGACGCCGACGTGTCAGCCGAGGTGCCACGTGTCTTGGTCGTTGTGCCGAGGTCATCTCAGCTAGGCCGAGGTTGCCTCCGAAGATATCGGAATCCGAGATAAGCGGATAAGGGACAAGAGTCCTAGATATAATATTTTTATAAAAAATTAAATTAATTAGATATCACTAGCATTATGATTAAATTAATTTTGTATTTTTAAAAATAAATGCTAATTGTAATTTTGAGTATAAAAGTGAATACAAAATTGATTTGATTGTAGTGCTATTGATATCCGATCAATTTGATTTTTTATAAAATATTTTACAAAAAAATTCTAAATATTGAATTGTTCGTAATATCAAGACGGGACCCAAAATGGGCGCAAGCGCCCCAACAACTGTGATTGCTATACAAATGGCACAACAGCTATCCATCATCATAACTAAAATAGTTAGCTCCCAAAGCAACCATTTAAGTTGAAAAAAAGAAGTTAATTATCTAAATATTTCTACTTTTTTATTATCAATTTTTACCATACAATAAATTATACCAATCAGGACCATTATCATTGATCTTGAAGACAGGGTAATAGCGAAATGATATAAGGGATCATTATTCTAGCAAATGAGAACAGATACCATTGACACATGGGTAGGGATATGGGTAACGATATTAGTATGAGTATAATACGAGTACGTCGATACAGTAAGATCTAAAAAAAAGTAAGATACAAGTATGACTAGGGTATGTTAATAAATTATTTATTTTTTATAATATATAATTTGAGATTCAACCTACAAATCAAAATTTAATTAAAAGGAGAAATTACAAAACCAAAGAGAGATCTTAGTTTAACAAATACTAATATCAAAGCAAAGTCTTAAGCTATTTTTATGCCATTAAATAAGAGAAATTACAAAATAAAATGTCATTCCAACAACAAGCTAAGCAAAATTTAAAAACCTGAAATTTTAATTTTCACTTCCATCAATTTCATTATTAAATAATACATCTTTCATTTGTGACACATCAAGTAAATTAGAATACTTTAATAAAATTAAACGTATCTCCACCAATATCCAATAGCTTGGTGTACCCCCAATGTACCCACAAAATACCCACCGAGTATCCAAGTGCCAAAAAAATGTATAAAAAGTACCCGATATGTATTTCGAATATCCAATATTCATGCAATCCTATCGGTACTGTACTCATTATGAGTACGGCAATATTTTTAGAGTATTCATGTTTCTTAGGTCAAAGTAAGGAAAAATGGAATCAATTTAACAAAATGTTTCTAGCTCTTAATTCTTTTTTCTTTTTTGGTAAGAATTTAGCTCTTAATTCACAACACAATAAAAGAAAGCAAGAAATACCAAATGGATCATCTTTAAGTTCATTCGTCAAACACAACATGAGAATCAATCATCATCTCTTGAATTCCATTACTGAAAAGAACTAACTAATACTAGTACCTATATATGAAGATGGTAATTCTAATGAAATTAATACATAGAGGTACCTAGAAATTCAAACTTCAGCAGAAAATAATCCCCTGGGAAAAGAAAAATGAAAACAAACTATATATGAAAAGAAAATAAAATCAAAATGAGAAACGAGAGAGAGGGAGAGAGAGAGAGAGAGAGAGAGAGAGAGAGCATTACCCAGATGAGAAATGGAGGAGATGATACAGAGAACTTTAATCAATTCCCAACTTCCTCTGAACAACACATGTACTTTGAGAGAGACTTTGGACTTTTTGGCCTAATATATGGAAGTTGACTCATAGTTTGGGAAGTTGATTTTGGTGGGTTAGGGGTTAAAATAGTCACAAAAAATAAAATAGGCTATTTTAGTTACAAAAAACAAAGCATCAAATTTAATTTATAATCACTATACTTCTCTCTTATAAAAAAAGTTAAAAAAGTTAAAAAGTCAAAAAGTCCTTCTCAAACTAGGCTTTTTAGCCCTAGGCTAAAATAGTCAAAAAACTAAAAAGCCAAAAAGCCAACCCACTTCCCAAACGGAGACGCTTCACATCATTTATGTAGAAAAGTTAAATTTATTAGACATATAACTCTATAACAAAAATATATTTATTTTTTAAAAAATAAATAATTAATTTTATCTTTATAATTTTTTAAAAATAATAATTAATATTTGATTATGATATTATAAATTTTTGATTAATTTAAATTTTTGATTAATTTAAATTTTGATATAAATAATATAATCTATAAATTTTATAATATAGAATTATTTAAAAAGCTCAAAAAATGCCTCAACCGGAGCACCACAGAAGCTGCTGTTCAGTCCACGTGGACACAAATTGACAAAACTAAAATGCTGTTAGGATTAAGAAAAGGAAAATTTTATTACATGCATATTATATATATCATTAGTTATATTTTTAATTATAATTAATTTTTTTTCTTTATTTATGACATTATTTTAAAATCTTTAATTATGTCTCATTTGTGTTTGGTTATGACTTTTTCTTTTTTTAATTACAATTCAGAAAGTATAAAATTATATCATTTTTTTATATAGTCCTAAAGTACATATGATACACACCATTTGAGATGTGTGTATTATAGTCTTCCCCCTCCCCTCCAAAAAAAAAAAAAAATAAAAAATAAATAAAAGTTTAAATTATAGGATAAATTATAATTTGCCCTTTTATGTTTTGTCATTTTTTCACTTTAACCCTTCATGTTTCAAGTTTTTCTCAATTTATTCTAAAAGTTAACTTATGTCAAAAATTAGACAAAAAAGACAACTGCGTGGCATAAAAATATTTTTACTATATATAACTCATACATTTAATACAAATCCAACCCTAATATAATAATATATTTTTATATTATGTGATAGTTAACGTATTATTTTTTGTCTAATTTTAAACATAAATTAACTTTAAAAATAAATTGAAAAAAAAAATCTGAAATATGAAGGGCCAAAGTAAAAAAATAAGTAAACATAAAAAAAGCAACTATTAAAATTGGATAACACCCCCCTCA